GGGAAAGAGACGCTCTGGGAGGAGAAAAAATCAGAGAAATAAGTTTACTTGTCAGTAGTCAGGGTTGAGAGGAAGGCTGATTAGAAACAAAGATGATAATACGTTTTAAAATATTACATATGTGTTGATTCTGAGAGAAAAGGTCTGGGTCGGTCCTCTGGGCCATCTGCTAGCAGGAAGGAATCTATTGATTTATTGCTGAGCCGGAATGGAGCGAGTCGTCTGAAGTTGCTTGGAGAATAGGGGATCTGCACGCGGGCCCTTTGCGATGGCACCACAGTGTCTTCACTAGATAACCAGGGTGAGAACTTCATGTAGATGCTTTGGTCATCATCGGCTGAAAATACTGGGTTATCAATTCCTAAAAAAAGAAGTTCACGAGGGACAAATACAATTAACCAAAGTAATTTCTTGGTAATATGACAAGATGCTCTGTAAAATGAGGTTATGGGGGAAAAATAGGCTGGTATAGTTGTGGCTACACCAATATACACACAGCATTAAACACACATAGCTTGCTCTTTCTACCTTGGCTATTGCTAGTCATTTTGTATTTCTATAAAAAAAATAATCTTATATTATATCCAGTATGCAGTTATGCTTGGGATATCCGGAGACAAAACATAAAACCAATTAAAGACGAAAATCAGCGAATTTTAAGCAAAATAAAGCACAGGATAAAATAACTGTAGAAAATTCAGAACAAACCCATTAAAAAAAAAAAAGAAACAAAAAAATGGGGGAAAAAAAAAAGAAAACTCATAAACTGCACAACTCCATGAAGGAATTACATATGCGTGAGTGAATTAAGCAGGCCATGGAACAGTCAGAAGTAAGTTACAGGAGCCTTTTAACATAGATATTAGGTCTGTAGTGTTTGAACAGAAAAGGGAATTTCAAAAATGAGTCTAGGTCTGCATCGTGCGGAAGTTACGAATTTAAGAGGAGCAATCCTGCCTGAAAGAAGCAGCATTCGATTTACCACAACGAAGCACTCCAAATGCGAGTAGAAAACTGTAACAAAGGGCTCGTATTGACTGGCCTTGAAAAGTAGGACAACTCTAAAATAAGATTTTCTTCTCTGAGAAGCAATTAGTGGGTTTAGACCTGGTTTATGTAGTCATGCTCACAGATTTTGTCAGTAGCAAATTTGATGTTGTCCATACCTGCGGGTGTCCAAAACTTGTCATCTGTTAATAGCGATATTAAGCAAGTGTATTCCTAACAGAACACATCAAATTAAAGCAAAACCAAAATACAGGCTAAATCAGCAACATTTCTAGACTTTTTTTTATAATTTGAGAAAAAATCCCAAACACCTCTAGAGGTAATTAATATTTTTACCATTAGGAGTATCTGTGAAATTTTGCTTCGTCACATTAGCCAGGAAATCAACTCCTTTGCCTAGATGCAGAGTTTCATAATCATTATTTTCTTCTGATTCAGAAAATTCCAAATCTGGAAGAAAGAAAAAAGCAGAAAACAAGTCTGATTTGATTGGAATTTGTGTCAGTTCTGTGAGAAAAAATGTTATTTTATGGTGTTTTATCAAATACTGTAGATACATCTTTAACAAGGCTCTAGATAAGGGTAAAAATTTATTCAACAGTTGTAGCACTGAAATGTGAATGTGGATGTATACAGAGTTTGCAGCTTAGATAGCAATTGCATCAAGAATACTCAGCCTGCATTGCCCCTGTCAGTCAAAGAAAATCAACGTTCAGAAAATCACTCAACACGCTTAAAGAAAATATCTTGGCTTGGAGCTGTTGAGAAAAGACAAATCCCTCTCTACTTCAATTCTTTTTCGGATAAAGGGATTGCATGCATAAACAGAGGAAAGAACATAAATAAAAGGTAGTTCAGTGGCTTTTAAACCATATTTTTAAGTGACACGTTATTTTATAACAAACATATTGGCATCTTATCACATCTCACTGTGACTGACATCAATGACAGCAGCTGGTAAAATGCAGTCAATGAAACTGCCTTAAGATCCTTTTTACCTTTTTCCTTCAAAGCAAAATCTTGCACTGGACTTTCCGAAGGTATTTTCCCATTCGGTATTACGTTGCTGTTTCGCTGAAAGAAAACAACGAAAGTCACCAAAAAGCCATCATCAGTAGCAATGGCAGTGACGCCCTCTGAAATCAAGAGTTCAGAAGCATAACCCTGAAATCTGTTGTAATCTTTGCTTGAGACTCGATATTGATGTAATTAGTTTCCCTCCTGCTCTCGTACTGATTACAGGAAAAGAGAGGAATTTTGACTTTTTGTTGCCTCTCATGCAAATTTTAAGGAGTTCTCAGTGCTACCCTGCAACATCTCCCCACAGGCTTGTAGCACGGCTCAAGGTCTGTTGTTTCTTCACGTAGTCAAAGGTCTCTCTCAACCCCGAAGAAGCGATCCAAAGCAAAGAGAAAAGCAGAGTGAGAAAAGATGCCCCTCAAATTGTCTCACAGTTTAATCTCTTCTTGCTTAGGCCCTTTAAGTTCATGAACTTCTACAGGATAGAGATAAATGCAGGATATAGGACTCTGAAGAGTCCTCCCTGCCCTCCCCACCCTTTAGTTTTATATAATAGGTGGCTACATCTGCATCCTCGTGAAAGAATTTTACCCTTTTTTGGCCCCGGTCTCGCTTGTGGATTTTATTGAGCTTCTTGGGATGGTTTATTCCTAGTTTGGTACTCTTGAAAGATTCTAAGCGTTTCCTCATTGTCCTATGGAAAATCTCCTTGTCTTGTTTCTCATCTTCATTGTGCATGATCTCATGTCGACTGTACAGGTGTTTGTGCTGTGGCCAGGAAGGGAAGACAATATTCATTTATTTAGAAATGCAGCTGGAAGCCCTGAATCAATGCATTCAATCAGCGTCAGGCAAATGTGAACAACTCCATAAGAGAGAAGGAACCAAAGACTAGTCTGAGGGCATTAATGAACCTCCTATTTTTCTTCACCAAGGAAAAGGTATAAGTCCAGGAATTTTAAGTATGTAGGAGTGACTATTATTCAAAGTAAGCCTCTCCCTATAAGTGTCTGAACCACTTCAGTTGATACACTCCGTTTAATCCTGCTTCAGAACCTACGTTGGACCCAGCTCTGCCTTCCCCCGGCCCCGGAGGAATCAAAAGCGCCAGTTCTGCTAACGAGGCGTGTTCATAAACAACAAAGGACATAGTCGAAGTGCCCATCTTCCTCAAGGGTGCACATTTTGCAGATGGGTTCTCTCCTCCTCAAGTTTCGCTCCCAGGTTTTGGTTCCTAACATCTCCTAGTTTTAGACTGGAAAACAGCTGCCTGCTCTCACCTCCTGCCTGGGTTTGTACAGGTACTGCTGAAGGGTGTGATGAGCCACCACGTCTTCTGTGTCCCGGATACTTTTCCTCCTCTGCTCTAAAGCTTGCATGTCGAGGCAAACTGGTCCGGCTTTTTCTCTCCTGAAGGAGCAATATACAAGTAGGAGTCTTAAAAATCAGTAACTGATGCAGAGGAAGGAAAACCAGGAAAATGGGGGATGAGAGGGAAAAATGAAGTTCAAAAAAAAAGAAAAAAAAAAAAGAGCTCAAAATTGGTGAAATGAAAAATGAGTGAGCAAATACCTAGTGGGAAATGTGAAATGTCTTTCGGGTGGGCATAGCATTAATTTCTCAGTTTACGTGACGCATGGTCTGTTGGGTGAAAGGTTCATGAAAGAGTTAAGGAAGAAGCAATTTTTTTTTTCCTTGCATCTCTCCTAAGATTTTCTTGAGAAGGATCCGTAAATGACATCTAGCTCTGTCTTTTTTGGTTTTTTTCTGTTGGTGAACAAAAGGCACATGAAGTAACTCTAATGTGGATGTCTGCTTCATCTTACCAGCTTTTACTGCAAAAAACTGTGTGTAAAATGCTACGCTATAACTGTATGTGTATCTGTTTGATGTGGGAGAAAAGATTAGCAGAAGTTCTAAAAAGTAGTGAATGAAGCCTGGGTAATCTGCATTTCTCAGTTTGTAGCACTGTTTCCATTTCCTCACATACAGCATTTAAAAAAAGACAACAATCCTTCCCCCCTCAATCAGTCCACATTACTTACAGTAAGTAAGAGACAGAGCTTTCCATGGTACTTGGGAGCGGGGTGCTGAAATCCACATTTACCATGTTGTCTGTACTTGGAGAACGTATAAATGCCAAGGAACCTCTACGTTCTCCCTGGCCACAGAAAGAAACGAGACATATTATAGTTGGAAGCACCCAGGGCAAAACATGCATCAGAAAATGCCGATAATTCGTAAGGCCGGTGTATGCAAAGGGCGCGAGAAGCTGTACTGAGGTAAGGAATACAAACCAGTTTTTGGTTTTATGGTTTCTTTACATTGAGTGACATAACCGCAATGAACAAAGCTAGGAGAAAAGCTTTGCTTTCAGTTCTAAAACTGGTGTAATAGAAAGGAATTAGTGGAAAAGCTCGGATTTATGCCCTCACAGTTTTCCCTGTTGCTTGTATAACCTCTTGTTCGGGTGAAAGGCAGCTGTTAAGTGACACCGAGGTTACATGGGCTGAACCCATCTATGTTTTTGAATAGCAGCAAAGAGAAATCACGTAGCAGGTCTCTACGTTTTGAACTCCAATACAGGATATACCAAGAAAAATCATCTCCTTTGTGGAATGCTCTAAGAGATCCTATTTATGTTTCTCCAACTTTAACTGGATTGTGTCCCCTTTATATTTTTATATTCATAGAGCAAAACAAACATTTTCTTTTACTGTGGTGGCCCACATATGTGTTACAGTGGTGTGTGGCATTAAGTAGACTCTGTAGGCAGAAAACTTAAGAGGAAAAAAACGAATTCTGGGTCAGCATCATGCCACCCATTTTCCTAAGTGCATCTGGCTTTTCTTTCAAATCAAGTTTAATGTTGCATATCATCAGTGGAGGAGTTTCACCAGGAAGAAGTTATGAACTGTAAGTATTTTTAAGTCACTTCTCTGGATTATTTTCATTTTGCCCTGCTTAAACTCTCCTCTCTCAATTTTGAGGAATATGTTTAGAGTCAGACTGAATCCCTCAAGCTCTTGTTTATTTTACAGATGCACTATAACAGAAGAGCTGGAAAAAAGGAAAATCTATAAAATAGTTTTTAAACTCCTTAGTTTCTTGCAAGTAAGAAGAGAGTGAATATCTGGGGGAGGCAGCTCTTTCCTCCTCCTGGAATAAAAGGTTTCCATTTCAATGTCAGCTTGTAATTCACAGATATTTAGCCCAAAGATATATTTCAGAAGTCAAGGAAAAATTGTTAAAGCAGTGTATCACTGAAGCAAATATTAACAAGAGGAAGGCAGAATGACTATAGGATTCACAATTCATGACTAATCAGGTGTATTAACGTAACTAATTTCCACTGGTAGAAACTGTGTTGCAGATCTTTTGCAGAACTTGGAGAACTTCTCATTTCTTTAGTTTACATTATTAGATCAGTAAACATTAGCCAATAGAATTTGTTAGCAAGACACAATATAGAAAAATAGTATTTGGACTGGGCTAGCATAAATTCCTTGTGTTATGAACTATACTAAGGTATAATGGAAAAAGGGAACTCACCTAAAAAGAATAATCTAGTTTAATTTGACATTACTATATGGGATTCAAGACATAATTTGGTAAAGATTCTGGGGCTAAGTCTGCATGTCTTTAGTGATCTATAGAGCCCTTTGCATCTGCTAAAGAGAAAAAAAATACTGTAATGAATCTACTGCACAGGTTCAGCAGTGAATCTGAACACGAGTCTCATGCTCATCAGCATCAAAGTCACCTAACTTTCTTCCTCTGAGATGTGACCCAGAAAGCACCATGAGAAAGAAAATTAGTTCTTCAGCTCAAATGGTCTGAAAAGTGAATGGGTGATTTAATCTCAAAAGGAAGTATTTGCTTATCTTTTGAACCACTCCTCATTTTTTTCACACTAACATCATTTCTGAATTTAATCTTATTTTCTGAACTCAGTCTTTGAGATTCCTTGTTCCAATGGAAGAAGTCTGCCTGGTTGTAGCTCATTTTAAAAAAAAATAATTAAAAAAAAGTAGTAGGAGTAGTATCAGTCTTGGTAATATTGTTTTTTTAGTTAATTGGAAGAAGTCTGCCTGGTTGTAGCTCATTTTCAAAAAAAAAATACAAAAAAAAAGAGATTAGTAGTAGGAGTAGTATCAGTCTTGGTAATGTTGGTTTTTTAGTTAAAGAAATTAACTGTATATCACCTAGCTGTTAAAATGAGCTCACTTGGAGACTACGGACATAAGCCACCTAGCTGTTAAAATGAGCTCACTTGGAGATTACGGACATAAATAGATTCTGTCTTCAAAGCCCACTGTTTAAAACACGCCATTTAAAACTGTCTTCTGCACTGTATGACCACTGCTCATCTGTGGTGATTTGAGCTAAGTGGGACAGTTTCATGCTGAAGATGCGTTTTGTTACCATAGCCCCAGTCTGGGAACGAATGGTACTCCTGCAAAAGGCCAGTAACTTCCTCACATTCTGTAACTTCAGAAATCTCTCCCATTGCAAGTCTTAATCTTCTCTAACTTCACAATTCTATGACTGTGTTTGATATCTGCAGTATATCTCGTTAACCTGAATTTTTCAACTGTGGGTGTCATGATTACATTGAATTAAAGTTATCCTTCCCAATTCTTTTGTGTTACTGTGGCCTGACAAAATGAGTTTTGCCCTACACCCTACTTGATTTGGAAGTGAGCTTCTTCAAATCAGATTTGTCATCACATCAACACCGTTCCGCAGGAGCCAGACTCTGTTAGTGCATTTAGACAGACAGTAGTTTGCCTGATCCCTTTGGAATTTCAGTATTTTTTTCCATGCAGCGAATAGAGAAACAAAGTTTTTCAGTGAAATTCAACAGGAAAGTTCACTGATATAAGTACGATATACTCATACTTGGGGATCGGGCATAATTCTGAGCACTACAGCCACTCAAACAGATGATATGGAGACTCAAAACACATTTAGAACAAAAAGCAGAGCGGAAATGAAAATAATTTTCTTGTAGACATTTCCTGCAATATATCAACTTCAGGTAATGTTATAAATTTTTTCAGGAAACAAACCAAAACCCAAACGATGCTATAATATGTCAACAAGTATTCATAAGTACCTCAGCCACATAGCTAATTGCATCCTTCAAGTTGAGTTCATGGAAAACATTAAGGATCTGGTCTCTTGATTTTTGAGCAGACCTTCTCATCAGTACTTTACTGAGGAATTTCCTATCAAAATTGGACCACCTGATAATTTAAACAAACCGTGTTAATGGCAACAAGCAATTTTAGTTTCACAGCATTTTTAGTTTAGCATAAATGATATTTTTGTGAGCCAAGCACTTTAAAAAAAATAAAATTGGGAAGGCAGCAATGTGAGGGATTTGTGTTTTGCAGCTTTTCAGTTAGCGATTAAGGAAAGTCAAGGAAAAGCCTGCTACGGAGTTACGCAGCTGTCACAAAGCGTTTAATAGCTTCACTTACCAATCACAGCTACAACAGTAGGAATGCTATGATTACAGCAGTCCCTTTCACAGTCACTAGGACATTTTATACTCTGGGAGATCATGCTACCTTATTTTCTCCCTTCTGCTTGTGCAGTTATATTTGTTTCACTCTAAAAAACTTAATTTTCTTTCCTTCTTTGGAAGGAAATCTGCTTCTCCCCAGCTGTATTGTAGGACAGCCAGCCTAGAAAATCAGTTCACAACAACAGTGCCCTTCCAAAAGCACTTAGAGAGGTGTCTTATTCGTGCCATTGATGTACTCTGGCGCATAGGCGCAACGTGTATTTTCTGTGGCTTACACTCCCAAGCTTGACTGATAGTAGGATATCTACCTTTTCATATTTAGGCTCCAGAAGCTAGAGGCTGCTTTGCTTTCATCTACCTTCCTCAAGATTTTCTCTACAACGTTCCTCTAAAGGCTGCTTTGGAGGATTCAATCCATCTTGCCCAATAGTTACTCTGAGTTTATCAATTTTTATTCAGATTGTCCAAATGTTTTTGCTCTTAAACGTTATTCCTAGAATTGATAACTATTCCTCTTCTCCAGCCAGAGCATTTGACAAGCAGTCTTGAATTCAGGCTGCCACACCTGAGCATGTCAGTTCTGCCAGTTCTTTGAGGAAGCAGCTCTTTCATGTACATATAGTCCAAAAGACGCAGCCTTAAGGTGGCCTCATTGAAAATAAATCAGTCATCAAACCTCACAATCAGTCACGACTGGACACTAAGTTACTTCTCTTGTTATGTAGGGAGATTACTTTCTAAGAAGTCAAACTCTGCCACTTGAGAAATATTTAGCTCTGTCTTCAAGGCAGTATTTCAAAGGTGGGGCTGTATTCCCCTGTGTTACACCCTGCTGACATTCCTTCCCCAAAAGTGAACTAGACATTTAGACCAAAACAAAGAAGATGTTCTGTTTAGCATGCCTCATGAAAAGTCTTCACCGCATTAAAGGAAGGAAGAGAAAGGAAGGAGACTGTCCTTCTAACTGGAGGCAAGTGAACAGTTCTGCTTGAGCTCAGATAGCATCCAGCTCCAGCCTAGGAGCTGGGGAGTTTTGTGAGCGTAATGCTAAATCTGAACTGACACCCTCAGCAGGGGTTAGGGCTCTACAGAAAGTTCACACACCTAGATGGCTGGTGCATTGCAAATGACACGGCCAGGGAGCAGGACATCAGCAGGTCCGAACTGTGACTGCACCTACACAAAGACCTAACTCCTGGGAGAGAACTGCTTCATCTTAAATAACGCTCTTAAAGATGCCCAGGCTTAACGTCCTTCTTTTGTGCTTGTTCGTCCAGATGATGGATGTCCGTGTCTTTTGGCTGAGTCATTTTGATTCTTTCAGGATGAATCAACTCTAACCAGAGGGGGATGGAACTGATCCATCATTTTTATTATTGGTTTCAAACCAACAGGCTTCAACTGCCCGTTTCAAAGCACCCTCTGCCATGTCTTTCAGATATGTTTAACACATCCTTTGTAGAAAGCAGCACAGAGTCAAGGGGGTTTTTTTAGTGTCTCCACACACGTTCGTGAAATGGAATGTTACAGAGAAGGACCAACATTAACCTTTTAGCTTAAATCTATAGCAAACGGCCAGTTCTTGACCCTTGAGGGAAGCTGATCCCTGGATATGAACCAAGACATTCTGAACTGCAGAAGAAAAATAAAATATTCCATCTCCAGGGGACAAAAATAAATAATTTTCATGTTTTCTGTGTTTCCAGCATTTTCAGTATATAACTTTTTAAACTTCATCCCACATCCTTGCTGTCCCTAAACCCGCAGTCTTAAAAAGCCATAATTTACAGGTAAGACTTCCTAGAAGTATTTCAACATTCCAAATTAGTTACTACTTACTTGTCTCTCAAATAATTATGTCCTATTTGTCCAGAAATGTCTTCTATAGCAGAAAGAATGTGATCAAAGGCCTAGGAAAGTGAAAGTGGAATTAATACCCTTACAGAAATAAAAGGCATCATCGGAAAAATCATTTTATGTCAGGTTAGACCAGATAGCTAGGAGAAATAATTTTATTGCTACTAAGCAGATTTTTTTCCCCGTTTGCAGAAATATTGCTATATGCTTTTCTTCAACGGTTCTGAGCTTTCTAACTGGCTCTTAACATCTAATATTCTTGAACTGCAGAAGTTTCATCATGAAAGTACTTAAGGCTCCTTTTAACATTCAATTTTAGGACTATTTTTTTATCGACTCATTTTAACATCTCCATTTCTACCCTACAAAGCACATCAGCGTTGGCAATTAAATCAGTTGAAAAATGTCCTTAGTGTTTCTTTTTAGGCATTTCAGGAATCCATACTTCCCTCAGAGTAGAACTAGCTATCCTGATATCTAGGGCAAAATCCCATCTCCCAGGCATTGTAAAAAACTAGAAGACAGTTTTGTTTAAAAATCTCTTACTCTGCCATGGAGTTTCTCATTCAGTTTTGGCTCTCTGTGTTCAGTTTTCTTCACTTTCAGCCACTGTACCAAAGGCTTGATAGTCAGTCCCTGAGAATTGAAACATGATAATAAACACTTGGGGATCAGCTTAGACTTTCCTCCAGCCAGTCATTGCTGAAGAGAAATAAAGCAGTTTTTTATGTTATGCGGTGGTCCTCATATTTCCTCAGTTGAGGTCTGTCCCCTTTAGAAGACAAAACAAGGCAGTGCCCTCAGCTCCTGTTCTAAGGGTTTGAAAAGACACCAAACTGTGGAAAAATACATCTTCTACAATAAATATTCGGTAGTGGAAGGGTTAAAGTGTTTCCTATACCCTTCAATGTGGTATTTTCTTTGAGTGTCAGGAGCTTGTGACCACAATTGCGCTTTGTATAATAAGTTTGAGAAAAAAAAATAAAATCAAAGCAGCTATATACTGACGTGTCTCAGTTTGAATTAATGCTATTTTTTTCATTCCAAAGGTCCTGTTTTGTTTGAACCCTAAATACGTTCCTGTCCCACTGCTTACTATTATATATATATTAGGCTAAGGTAGATCAGCCTAATGACTGTATTTGCCCGTCAGAAGGACTATTCCCTCTAGTTATTCACATGAGGTGAAGGATGTTTAATCTGATATTAACTTGAGCACTATTAATAACAAGCAGCTAAGACTGGATATTTTTTAGCACAGAGGAAATTATGTTTTGTCCCTTGTGGTGCCGTACAAAAACATAAAATAGGATCTTTGTTACTAAAATTACAACTTCAATTATGCTTTCAGTTCAGTGAAACAATATGCAACCTTCAGCTGAGCACTGCTTGAAGCATTTGGTACTTTTTTGAGGGACTCCTTCTCCTTGCAGGAAGCATGCTTAAGAAGTTGAATTACCTGGAAAATAACAGTAAAAAACACAACAATGATGGTCGTGCTGACGAACAGGTCTCTGTCTCTCACTTTGTCCTTATCCAGGAGTACAACCAGAGCGAAAGCGACCGCTCCGCGTAGTCCGCCATACGACATCACCACCTGGTCTATGATCTCCAACTGGACCATCCTGTAGTGGTTAAGAATCCATGTCTGTATAACTACACCTATATATAAAACAAAAACAACAAAAAAAACCAAAAAACCAAAAAACGCCAGCATGTCTAGAAATACCCTTATGAAAAAAATCAATATCCCAACCACATGTAACAGAAATGGTACCACAGAATCATAGAATCAGAATGTCAGGGGTTTGGAAGGGACCTCTAGAGATCCCCCAGTGCAACCCCTGCCAGAGCAGGGTCACCCAGGGCAGCCCCACAGGAACGTGTCCGGCCGGCTTGGAAAGTCTCCAGAGCAGGAGACTCCACACCCTCTCTGGGCAGCCTGGGCCAGGGCTCCGGCACCTGCATAGCCAAAAAGTTGTTCCTCATGTTTTTGTGGAACCTCCTATGTTTCAGCTTGTACCCATTGCCCCTTGTCCTGTCACTGGACATCCCTGAACAGAGCCTGGCTCCGTCCTCCTGACCCTCCCCCTCGACGTATTTATAACCATGACTGAGGTCACCCCTCAGGCTCCTCTTCTCCAGCTGCAGAGCCCCAGCTCCTTCAGCCTTTCCTCACCAGGGAGATGTTCCATCCCTCCATCATCTTTGTGGCTCTGCACTGGACCATTCATAACAAATTCTCTACACCATCTCCTCCTCCCTCTGTTTTGCCACGCTGTGCAGGAGGGCAGCCCCACTTGGTGCCTTCCCCTTTACATTTTGCCAGAGGAATTAGATGAAGCTGCTTCTGTGAGGCAGCACAGCCTCTAGAGTGTGCCATCCTCCAGCATGGGCACTACAGGTGAAATTCTCTTCTGTGCTGACCTCGAGTTGAGAAAGAACAGAATTTCTGGTGCTGTAGCCAGTGACATGCCAGAGTCTTACCACAGCAAGAGGAACAGATTGAAACAGCCTTGATTTAGTGGTTAAGTGTGCTACTCTTTACAAATCACTAAAAATGACGTCTTACAGAGGATTGTGAGGTTGCACTAACAGACCTACAAACGAGATGTACAGGCAGGTGAGAGCCACAGCTCTTCATGCCTAGGGGTGACGTGTTGCCTGTTGTAGGAGACCTAGAGTGCCAGAAATCACAGCGTCTCCCAGAGACCCCTCCACACGGAAAACATCTTCCTCGCACAGCATGTGCGTTCCTCACAGCAGCAGTCAACCAGTGCAGAAAGAGACATTTCTCTTTTTAGGGAACTCTAAATTTGCACTAAGGGAAGAGTGTCTTGTGGATATCACTGGAGAGGGGATCTTGGGAATTAATTTATGCCACCAGTCTGACTCCTCCAAGGGTACGAGAGCTGCAGTTACGTAAGGCCCAGTATAATCAGGTAATCAGGTCTTTAGCAATTTATCTAAGCTCAATTACTTTAATGGCTGTATATTATTATTACTGAATATTTACTATTTAATTACTGATCGTACTTATTACAGCATTGTTAACCACTCACTCCAGGAACACAAAGGGCAAAGTCAAGATGCTGAAAACTCGTTTAAACACCTCACACACATCAGCAATTACTGTGAGGTGGCGACATGGAGAATGGTTACAAATTATTTAGGAAAGAGGACGGGGGCTAAAAATACATTCAGACTGGGAATTTCTAGACAGAATAAGAACACAAAGTCTAGGAAAACTGCCAGCTAGATAGGTGCATTACCTTTCATTTGAATTTCTTTCAAGACAAACAAACCCCAGATGTAAGTACATACACCACATCGCTGTGTGTGTTCCTCAAAGTACTTCATTCTATGCCTTTTTTGTGATTTTAGCCTTTTTGCTATTTGACAAAATAGTGATTAAATAGTAGAACTACATAGTTGGGCAAATCATCATTGGCATTTTGAAATGTTTGCAAATTTATATAAGCCCAGTAAATTGACAGTAGGTAATCCCCACCTGCCACAGTCTTATTTACTCAGTTTTTTGCCAGTCCCTGAGAATCATTTCCTAAGCCAGAGAACCTGGGGTGTAATTATGTATGGTCTTACATCACTGTGTGTCTCAAACGTCAAGTCAACCATAAAATTAGCTTAAGACAATCTCTTTATTACCAAATTGAAAGAGCTGAAGGAAGGAGATGGCTGACAGCACTGGCATCTTTAGTTAGGCTGCAAGTTAAAGAACAAAGTCCATTTCACTGAGAGATTTGGCCCATACCACGTGCTGGGTCAGCAAAGGTTAGCCACTGGGTCATTCACGTCGTGCTGGACTACTCATCCTCACATGTCATCAAAAGTGAAATCCTATTCTATCTTCAGCATGTGATGAGGCTTAACTATAGATATCTATCCTTCTAACCCAAACCCAACCATAAATTCACCTAAAATAAATGGAATATTTTAAGAGGAACAAGTCTAGAACTCCAAACATTTTTTTTGCCTTTTTTTTTTTCTGAAAGAATATGTGATTGAATCAACAGTACAAGGCAAGGACAGAAAGATCATCCTCTTACCAATAACTCTATATACTGAGATGAAGACTAGAGTCAACAGAATAAAAGCTGTATTCCAAGTCCAGATATCTGGATTTACAGCTGAAATTCCCAGGAACATGAAGATAATAGTTTCCGCTCCACTGGCCAACATTTTCATGGTATATCTGACAGTTGTAGAAGATTGTTCAGATATGTTAGCCTTGACATATTTCTGACAGCAGATGCCACAGAAAGTTATCCTAGGAAAAAAAAGAAAAAGGAATAATTGTTTAGAAAATGTGTTATAACATTTAATATTATATCCACCTGTCTGTCACATCATGATAAAAACCCACTATTAATTCCTAAGAAAAAAACCACTTAGGAGCCATTGTGGAATCTAATCTAGGTAAAAAGCATTTTTCAAACCATTCATCCTAAGGTGTTCCCAAGGGGTCTGAAGACAGCATTCCATTAGGTCGTAACAGACCTTCATTCTCTTCAGATTTCCATCCTGTTTTACATGCAAAACATTTCAAATCTTGTTTACATTAGACACAATCTTAAACTAAAGATCCGTTTGCAGTAAGATTTTCGGATTTGAGATATGCTCACTGTAGCATCTACAAACATGATGAGGAAAACTGAGAAGAAAGGTAATGCCAGGAATCAATGGATACTAAAAGAAGAAAGACCACAGAGGGACTCAGGCCAAAACAGGCAAGATTTAGTCAAGCCTTAATAGTGAGAGCAGTAAATAATGGATATTCACATAATGCCTTAGAAAAAATACTGGTTTAATTACAAATTATAGGGAAAGGTGTCAATACAAGTGGACAACTGCTAGTTACTGGAGTAGTATTAATCACAAAGAGCAGTCAAGTTTGTATTTTGCAAAGCAAGTTCTCATATTGCATAGCAGATACTGGAAAACTCGCATTCCTTTTCAAGGCTGAATAGGCAGTATTTGCAAACTGTAATCTACTGCAGTATGAAGACACTAATATTCAACATAAGGCTTACAAGTGTCATATTCTATAGCTGTCCTGTATAATTTAGGTCTTTCAATGTTTTTAAAAACCATGTTCCCTTCCCAGCCAGTAATAAAAAATACTTACGCAAGGATAGCGGACAGAGAAAGCATCTCTGCCGTGAGGTAGGACAGGTAGGAAATGATAAACACAAATCCAGGTTCAATGATTCTCACGTGCTTGGTGAAACGACTGACCAACGAGAGCAGGAACGCAAAGAAAATGCCAACCAGTGTCCCACCCAGGCTCACTACAAAGAAGGACACTGAAAAACAAATCCAAACACAGCTCAAACAGGAGAAATATAATGGTTTGGCCTAGTTCTATTGTACGGTCAGCAAATCAGAGAACATTTTGGAGGACACATCAAAAAATTATTTCTAAAATGCAACAACATGAATTGCTTTTGAGCATGTGATATGCGAGTGCAGCATTCTGTAAAAAAGACCAACAAACTAAGGTTATTTTCTGTCAAGCCTCGTCATTTTAAGCATATTCAAAACTCACCACATTTCTTTGAACAACTTTTTCCTCGCTTTGTTTTCCGAAAGTATATTATAGAACATACCAAAGTCACGGTAAAAATATTGATTTGCAAGATGAGGTAGCATGCCACGCTTGGAATGGGAAACAATCACTCAATTTTTAGGTAAATGGCATTTCTTGATCGTCACTGACAAATGTTACTCGTTGACAATCAGTGATAAGGAGCGAGAAGGCTCATCTGTAATCTCAGCTTTCCTGGATTGCAAGGGGGACGTAGGTTGAAACTAAGGATGTATTCTTAAGGAAGTATGTATAGCTGGCAAGTTTGGTGGTCTTTACAACTGAACTCCCTTTCTGTTGAGTCTCCTCACTAGAAAACAAATATGATCAAGTTTCCCTAATATTAAAGAATATGCACTTACTTATTTTCTTAAGATACTCATCTATGCCACAGGAGTGTGGAAATATGAGTGGTAAGGGAAAGGGCTGGAAAATAACAGCTAGTGGTAACATAATAACATGATTTTATTTAGAAGCCTGCGTACGTATATGAACGATTTAACACAGAATTCAATCTGGAAAATAACAGCTAGTGGTAACATAATAATACGATTTTATTTAGAAGCCTGCATACGTATATCAACGATTTAACACAGAATTCAATTTTACGCACCTATGCCTCTGACACATTGAATCCCCGTCACGTTCTCTGCACCTATTGCAACGAAAGATTCAAACACATTGTACAGCACCTGAAAAGAAAAGTAGACTAACTTAACATTTACTCCTGGATTAAGCCTATTAAAATAATCTCATTATGGGCCCCAGCATTACAAATTCTGAAAGAAGTAACAGAAATTTTTAGAAAAACAACTTTTTTCTTATTTCAGTATGATTTCTATCTGTAGGAAGCATTGTTACACCTAGGTGTGTTTTCTAAAGCACTTTTCACTTTAAAACCCAGGTATTTAGCAGAAGTATTTAATAGTCTGTATATGATACTTAATAAGATAATAATAAGATTCTAATAATAAAATATTGGACTTCAGTATATGTAAAAATAAGTTGAACAAAAACCAGAGGAAACTATAATAATTGTACTAAAGCTTTCAAAATAATTGACTAACAGTGAAAGTGCTGAAAATATTCATCTTATCTATACCCCTGCCTAAGGGGGTTTGTATGAGCATCGTTCTTGACACGTGCCTACCTAACCTGTTCTTAAATCTTGCAGCAGTGGAGGAGAACTTTATTATGGCTTTCTCAGCTTTTCTTATTGCAGATCAATTTGTTAATTCTTAGCTCTTTCTAAATGAAAAAAAAACCCACAACAAACAAACAGAAAACCCCAAAACAACCCCTAAATGAACATGTTACCAAAAAAACCCAACTCAAACCTGAGACTTTCTAAAATGTCCCACAATTTTTCCCAAATTGGTGCTTTGTTATGTATGTGTTTGATAAGCATCTGATTGAAGTGGAAGAGAGGGGACAGGCATAAACATTTTGGTGAGTATTCTCTCTCTCACTGTCTCTCTATATATTAGATATAGTACTATATTTTATATATTATGGGCATAACAAATATGCAGAAAAGGCAACGTGGATTAAAAAACAACAGCAAAGAAAGGCTTAGGAACCGATTTCAGTAAGTCATGAAAGCCCTACCTGAACAGCAACAGAAAATAAAAATACACACATGAAACTTAATTTTAATTGGGTTTATGCTCATCCAACCCAGGACTGTATATTGTTATGTGACTTCCTGGCTCCAGATAGTTTTCAAGTTCAAACACTTTATCTTTGCAATACAGTGTTTGCAAGCAAAACGGAGAACGCCATGAGCTATATCACGCTTCACAAGAAACCCTCTAGCGTTTTGGGTGACTTCGGGATATATAATTTACTTACCACAGTGACAGCGTCGTTCAAAAGCGATTCTCCGAAAACGATGATGAATAGAACTTCGTTGACATGGACTTCTTCAAACACTGCCAGAACAGCTACAGGATCCACAGCGGCAATTAAGCTGCCAAACAGGAGGAAGTCCAGCAGCCCACTGTTCAGATGGCCTTCAGAAACAAAGCAGAGTCGGTTTTGTATCATCTATAGTTATGAGAGACTGTGATATTGGAGATAATGCAAAATCCTTGAAAAAAGGAGTCCTAAGGCATCAGCTGGAAAGCATGTCATGGAAACTAGGCCTGCACCGTATGTCCTACAAGAATTGTTGGATCCAGCAGTGACTCGTGTGTATCAAAGCGGATTGTGAGCAGTACAATCGTGTTATTATGGCAAGGTGCACAAGTATTTCCAGTTCTAAACTATCTTTGTACATGGTATGATTTATCTAACTATAATGAGTAAATTATCTCAGGATAACTGAGAACTTACAAGATGTTAAGAGAGATATACTAGTACTCCCAAAGTAAATGTTCCAAAATGTTTTTGCCACAGGCCAAATTTGATTCTTGGTTGTTAAACACTGCTACAGTGGGGCGTAACTGCACTTGGTCTCCTTATTCAACCAGATATTCATTGATAGGTGCAGTTAAGCCACTTGTTTCAAAATTAAGATTCATGAGGCCACTGGTAAATTGCCCACAGCTTGGTCACTGCTTTTGTGTTCATAAACGGGTGGAGGAGGAAGCAAGGTTCATCAAGAGGTGATGAAGTCCAAAATAACATAGGGAAGAGCAAAGAAGGGATATACTGAGAGTTCATTCACTAGAATACAGTTAATAGGCAGTTGCATCAGGCATAACTTCTACAGGTGAGGAGGAAATCCATCCCATCGAGTGATTTGGAAACATAGAGCAGACAATGACAGACAGCAGCCATAGCCAAAGGATCAAGATACTTCCAGAACACATGTATTTCCAGCACAACATGACTACTCCTCTACCTAGAACCCTTACATGATAATTTTTCAAACCCAGAACGTTGAGTGCTTGGAAGGTAACTGAAACAGAAACCAGATTCCAAATATTTTTGATAAAAAATGGTGTGGGCATATTTCCTGGGGAGAAGGACACTTCCACGGGTAGCCAGAGACAAGAGTAGACAAGCCCGTTGTATGCAACAACGGCCAATGATCTGGAGAGCTGTGGAAGTACGTACTCCCTTAGCTGCTGTCTGCCAATCAGAACATCTACAGTGTGCTCCATACAGTTTATAGGGACCTTGGCAAGGCCCTGAAAACAGAAATCCATCGTTTGCTCAGGCATATCATTATTTTCAAAAGGAAAAATAGTCCTGTTGGCTCTTGGACCTGCGGGGCTGTGGATGAGAGCTGAGCCCATGCATTTCAGTGTGAGGGAGGGGTTGGAGCAGTGAGCTGAAGTCTGTGCCAAAAATTCTGGGAACAGCCTTGAACCTGAATCTAAGGAATGGTTCCGTCAAATGTTGCCGTTCTTAAGGAAGGAACAAACCCAATGACAATAACTATCAGATATCAGGGTACAACAGAGCATAAGCTTTCAAAAGAAGTTGTCTCACTGAGATTGCTTATCTTTTTTATATGTTACCAATTATAATCATTGGTACATTCTTTGAAGACTTGCAGAGCTAGCGAGCAAATATTTATGGAAAGGTTGGGACACATCTGTAATTCTTACAAAGCAGTGTCGAGAGGTGTGGAGTGTCTAAATCAGACTTTTATTTAGCCTAACAATACAAGTCATTTCCAAGTGACACATGGTCATGGCTTCCTCCAGCTCTCATATGCCAGTACTATAGGCCCATTCAGTGGTGGAGTTGGAAGTAATTTGGTTTTAGTTCATCTTCGTCTGTAGTGGCTATACACTCCTACATTTTAATAATACTAGTTTTAGCACTTTCACTCCAGATGTAGAAAAAGTGATGTAGAAACAGAAATAAACCACAGAACTTCACCAAGTTGTCTAGAAGTTGAGTAATTTGACATTTTCCTGTCTTCAGCAAGCAACTCCATCAAGGATTTTCACAAAGCGTGGTACTCAGGTGGTGCTGATATCTTGGACGTTAACACAACTTATTTACTGGATTAGTAGGATGCAGATATTTTAAAGTCCTACCTAGCTTTGCTGGAGAATGACATAGTTTGAATCAGGGACAGGCTCCTCTGGCCTTTTCCATAACCAAAATTAGAACTCTAGTAGGTTATAGTATGTCTTGGTGGTGAAGACATGTCCCAACAGTATCACTCTTTCTAAACATTTAAATTCACCAAGCATGTCATTTTACTGTCCACCTTTGTTAATATTGTTACCTTGTGGAGCTTTATCTGTGACCTGTGGTAGGGGCTGGTGCTCTCGTTTAACAATAAGCTCAGAGTTCTAGTGTATGATGTCACTTAAAAGATTTGCATAATGATGAGGCAGAACATGTGGCCATCACATCCAGCTTTCACTACAAACACCTGCAGTTACGTAGGGTGAATCTCATAAGAAGAGGTCTCTGGTCTAGTTCTTCCAGACTGGGATTTCCAGATAAGGACAACACAGGTTTCTCTTAAAGCGGATGGAACAGATACCCCAATCTTATGCTCAAAGAACCCAGTTCCAAATTCTGCTACTTCCCTGTGCTGGAAAACGAGGACAGCTTTTGAGGCTGTAGTTTGACTCTACACCACAAAAACGTTCTTTGCAACATCTACAACTTCTGACATTCGAGGCACCTTTTTTTCTCTGGTCTGAAACACACCAAGCTGTGTGGTGCCGCGGGCTCACTTGAGGGAAGAGATGCCATCCAGAGGCACCTTGACAGGCTGGAGAAATGGGCCAGGGCAAACTGCAGGAGCTTCAACAAGTCAAAATGGGCCGGGCTAATCCCAGGCATAAACACAAACTGGGCACAGAGTGGGTTGAGA